AAGGACACAACACATTTCAAGCTCTTTTACAGCAGCACACATTTCAAGCCTTTTTATTGTGATCTATGAAAGGTGAATGCAGTGAATGTGTGTGAGATCGATCCTGTGTGATTAGTATCCAAGATAACTATTTGAGTCCGAAGCAACAACTGGTAAATGTATGTCTTGTTTCGAGGGGATGACGTTATAAAACGGCTATACGACCGGCTCAAAACATCAGTCAGCCAAACTTTCTATGCCGCTTTGCCAATTATCAGGTTTAAAACTACCCTCGTGCCAACGCCCTCGGTGAAACAACCAATGTCGACGTACGCCAAATCAAATTGTATCTACCAATTTAAATGTAGCTATGAAGCTGCTTATGTGGGCAGAACTGATCGACGCCTGGAGAAACGAATCGCTGAGCACATTCCAGTGTGGGTGGGAAAAGTCATGCAAAATAATATTCAAAATGAGAATACTGGCCACAAAGATCACCCCTCTGCAATAGCACGCCATCTGCTAAAATCTGGACACGTGGTGACTAAAAACCTTCATAGGTTCAAAAATCGTCAATGGCAGAACGCTAAGATTTTTCGAAGCTTCTGCGATTCGTCCCCTGTGCCTGGAAATCTGCATACAGAAAGAGATGGTTCTGTCTTTATCTCTGCCCTGGTAAAAACATGCAGTTATGTTTTGATCGTTGTTGAAATTGAACTTCAGTTACAAATGATTCACTAATTTGCGTCATTTGTGTACTTGTTGCTGTAGTATGCACCTGATAAGATGCATCGAAATATACCAGACTATAAATTGTGCAATCTAATCTTTGTGTCTTCTTTGTTCAAATCTTGTATTATTGCTATCTCATCGTATAAACAACGTTGCTGTGTGCCATATATTGTGAAAAGTAACGAAGTCTGCATTATATTTCATCACATGAAAACTATTGTTTTCCTCTCATATATTTTGTCACCGCGCGAAATGTATTGTTGTCTGTCATAGATTGTTTCATCATTTAACATGTGTTGTCTGTCATATATGGGTTCAGTGTATGAACATTCTATTGCCTACCATAGATTATTTTATCATATAAAAAATACTGTTCTCTGCTATATATGATTTCATCATATGAACTGTTGTCTGCCATGGATTCTTTTATCATATGAAATGTACTGTTGAGTGCATCTATTATTTTATCATAAGATGCCCCCCCCCCCCCCCCACCTCACCCCGGAGTACGACAAGCATTATTGTTTGTATAGATTATTTATCAAATAAAATGTAGTGTTGTTCCCATAAAATTATGTCATCATATGAACAGTAGTAATGTCTCTATATATTATTTTACCATATAAATATGTATATTTTGTCTTTGACTACAATTCTTAAGTTATTCTGGGACAAGGCTAGCATGCTTATCTGAGGCTGGGAATGTGGGGGGGGGGGGGGGCCTTAAGATCAATCCTCACTGAGACTGTTTTAAAAAATAGATCAGAATTCCTTCCAGTTTTCATAATGAATATTATCCAGTTCAATCTTAATATTCAGGAGGCAGGGTGTGCAAGTATTAACTATGAAACGATTTAAACAATTTCTTAGTAAAAATTGTATCTGCTTCTTATTTGTGTGTGCCTTTACCTACATTTGTATAACTGGTCATCTTTGTAAAGTTAACTTTGATTACAAGAAATATTCGCTTAATTTTTTTTAAACAATAATCTTTAAATTCATTTATTAGTGTAGTTAGTTTGATGTATTTTGTTTTCCAAAAAGAAAGTGCTATTAGCTGTTTAAAAAGTTTAGAACTATTACCATATTCCCAGTATATCAGTGCATGAAATTTGGTCCTTCACTTTTTTTCATTTTTATGTTGTTGATTGTTTAATCAAATTCAAAACATGGAGCATCGCTTTTATGTACATTGCCGGTGATTGGTTGCCTAATAAGACCCCAAAAAAAAAAATATGTAATTGCATGTCTAATGAAACAGAAAATATGTGGAAATGCTTGACATTGTTTGTTTAATGAAATGAAAAATTTGTAGTAATGCTTGTCATTGTTTGTTTAATGAAACATACATTGTGTAGTAATGCTTGTCATGTTTGTATAATGAAACAGAAATTGTGTGGTAATGCTTGTTATTGTTTGTATAATGAAGCAGAAATTGTGCAGTAATGCTTGTTATTGTTTGTATAATGAAACAGAAAATTGTGCAGTAATGCTTGTTATTGTTTGTATAATAAAACAGAAATTGTGTGGTAATGCTTGTTATTGTTTGTATAATGAAGCAGAGATTGTGCAGTAATGCTTGTTATTGTTTGTATAATGAAGCAGAGATTGTGCAGTAATGCTTGTTATTGTTTGTATAATAAAACAGAAATTGTGTGGTAATGCTTGTTATTGTTTGTATAATGAAGCAGAGATTGTGCAGTAATGCTTGTTATTGTTTGTATAATGAAACAGAAATTGTGTGGTAATGCTTGTTATTGTTTGTATAATAAAACAGAAATTGTGTGGTAATGCTTGTTATTGTTTGTATAATGAAGCAGAGATTGTGCAGTAATGCTTGTTATTGTTTGTATAATGAAACAGAAATTGTGTGGTAATGTTTGTCACTGCTTGTATAATGAAACAGAGATTGTGTGGTAATGCTTGTCATTGCTTGTTTAATGAAATAGAAAATTGCCTTTGTGCGTTTGTGTTTGTGTGTGCGCGTGCGCGTATGCCTGTGCGTGTACGAGCGCGTGTGCGCGTGTGTGTGTGTGTGTGACTGTGTATTTAAAAAAATTGATCATTGTCTGTGATTTATTTTTTAAAGAAATAGAAAATGTATAATATTGTCTATCATTCTTTGTTTTATGTAATAAAAAATACTTGGCATTGCTTACCATCGGTTGTTTTGTTGCAGAATCGCCTCCTCGTAGATTTTGGAGGCAATCGGTATTTTAATGAACCCCGAGGGAAACGATGCCCCTCGTAAGGGGTACAAGAAGATGGGGTGTAATGATTCTGGTCTACTTGTAATGTAGCGATGCTTCACTTGGAATGATTCTTGGTTCGTCTTGGAATGAACCTTGACGTAGACTTGAAACGTACCTTGGTTTGCACCAGCTTTAACGTCTAGGGTTGACAACACAAACGCCGCTCAGCTCCTTTGTACATTCTGTCAGTTTATTCTGGTCCATTTATTTCACATGTTCAAACATTATTCACACTTGATCACTCGCGACACATTTGAACATTAACCATTTGCCCGACATAGAGACGACATCTTCAAATACTACAACCGTCTTCTCTGACTTCTCATGATCGACTGACCACGAGGCTAGCTCGGGCTTCGCCTCGCTTACTCCACCGGCCACAAGTATCTCGTGCCGTAACTTACGGACTTCCTGCTTGCCAAAATGTACTCGTGGAGACCCTGCAAAGCAGGGTCATCACATGGGGTTACGGGATCCATTCTGACAAATGTTCCAGTCGCTACAGCGCCTCATGGTGAGCACAGGATACCTGTCGTAACGGGTACACTAAGTTGGTACACATTGCACTAAATGGACCAGCACGGGATCCCCCTGCCTCTGAAATTACACCACTATGTCACTGACAACTCATTTTGACTCTAGAAATGCGTAAAGTAGGTTTTTTTCTCGTTTTTTTTTTCTTCATACAAAAGAAATTTTATTCGGTTTTTACCACACTTTGTCGTGAGTGCATTACTTTGTCATTGCATGTTCATTTAAATGGTGCTGAAAAATTGTACCACAAAGGAACACTAACAGCTTACCATTGTGTACACTTAAAAAACAAAAACACTAGAAACTTATATACTTAAAACCTTTTTCACAGGACAGCCAAATTTAAAAATAACAGCCATTATTTTTTGTTTTGTTTTGTTTTTGTTTAAATAAATGAAAGTTCAATGTAAACTTCTGGCTTAAAATATTGGCTTTCCGTCTTTCGTTTTTATATATTGTTTTTGTTTTGTTTTTGTTTTTGTTTTAGTATCCAGAAGCCATGAGTTGTTAACCCTTAGGCTCGGTTTAATGGATATCGCAACCTTTCGGCATTGATTCCATTGTAAATACCGTAAATCTGGGATAAATGTGGCTTTCCTGCCTACCCCTGGGATTGAACCCGGACCACAAGGAGTTCGTCACCCGGTCTCGTACAGTCCGGTTTAGCCAACTACGCAAGCGAGCAGGGCGTTTATATATATATATATAATCAAGCATTCATTTTTATTTCATGCGTTTTGAGTAATTGGCTTCCAATTCAAGTCAATGGTGCGAGTCACTTGCAACTGGGATGAGCAAATCCAGACAAGGTCGCCAATGTTTTACAATTTAAATAATGACCTAATTTTTCGTGATTCTTATTTCCTGAATAATTATTAAAATAATTAGGCTGAATAAAAATATACCAGCTGCATTTTGGAAGATGCTCTTTTAAACTAGAATTTAATGCTCCAATTGATGTGCCCAGATATAACGGGCAGAGCTTTGCTGGCATTTTTTTTTCTATCTTAAGTACAGTATTGTAGGTAACTGTCAGAAGTTATAGTTTGATGAATTTTGTTGACTTGGTGTCATGTAGTAGTATTAATAGTAATGTTCACAAAAATATCCTGTTCAACATGTAGAGATGTAACTGAGAAATAAGTGTTCATGAGTTTTCAAAGTATATATATATATATATATATATATATATATATATATATATATATATATATATATATATATATGTATATGTATATATATATATATATATATATATATATATATATATATATATATATATATATATATATATATTTTTTTTTTTTTTTTTAATATGTCACGTAATTGTTTATTTGTGACAGTCATGTAATCTGTATTAGTGTTTCAAAGACTGGTTTATTTACACATTTCTGAACTGTGATTAAGATAGGGATAGGACTATGAGAATATAACTACGTTTGTAATTAATAGATAAGAGAAACATCAACTTGCTGATGTATGCTTGTAATAAACAGATAGGAG